TGTGGATAAGGCAATGCTCTTACGTGGGGAGAGATGCCCAAGAATAATTTTTCGACTTGTAATACTATATCTCTGCAGAGCTTCTCTAGAAAGAGCATCACGTTGTGTCCAACAGGTCATTTCGCTTCTGCCATGTCTCTTGGTAGCTGATGATGAGCAAAGCAAAAGCAGATTGCAGCTGTTCATTTGGTAGTCATATTTCTCCCTTATACTTTCTAACCAAGTTCACAGATGTTGGGAAATAATTAATTTGTTGTAATTTAGCCTTATTTGCAAGAATGTAACTTTAAGTTAACATTGGCCAGGGCTTTGCTTGTTGTGAGGTCGCAGTTTGGAATGTTAGATGATGGTGCTCGTTTTCATGTGATATCGCACTTGATTCGAGAAACTGTCAACTTTGGTAAATCAATGCTTGCTACTAGTATTATGGGGAGAGAGGACTCCTTGGATTCAGGCAACAACGTAAAAGAAGCAGGATCCATTCACAATCTAATTCAGAGGGATCGAGTGCTAGCAGCAGTGCGTCTTGCAAGTTATTTTAGTGCTGCTATATTTATTAATCATGGTGCTCTATTCGACCAAAAAATAAATAAATCATGATGCTCTATCCCACTCCTGTGTAAATGTATTAGGCTGATATATTTATTTTGTGTTAAGGTGTAAAACGGGTCGTGCCGTGTTGACATTGGGCATATAAATTAGGCCCACTCGTGCTTTGTGCCATGCGGTGCTGTGCATGATTGTCCCCAGCCTAGGCCTGAACGTGCCCATGCCATGCTTTGGCACAGGCCCATATGGTTTTTATTTCTTACAATTTACTATAAAATGAATCTTAGTTACTAAGGAAATATTCATTAATAAGGTTAGTAATAATGTAATTGTTTTATTGACTGATTAAGAAATGAAAATAAAACGTAGAATAACAACACTATCAGCAACACTTTCAACAACACTTTCAACATTTGCCTCTTATTGATTGTAATCCTGTGTCATCTACTCCTTGACTGTTTAGTTTTAATTTTTCAGGTTGCTGATGAGGCAAAATATACGAAGTCATTAGATACAGATCGTCAAAGGCAGTTACGTGAGCTCCAATCTAGGATGGATGAAAATTCTTCAGCAGAATCTAATAATAGAAAAGCTTTTGAAGATGAGATACAAAGTAGCTTGACTTCCATTCTTGCTTTAGATGACAGCAGGAGAGCTGCATTCCAGCTCACTCATGAGGAGGAGCAACAAAATGTTGTTGTATGTGGACCATTTTTCTCTGTTCTTGAACATAGCTTTTGCAAATGAATAAATAAACGAGGAGAAGCATGCAATTTTCTTTTGTTCATTACCTTTGTTTTCTCTTTGGCCTTGTGATGAACATTGTATCGTACTTGTAATTACTAACCGAGTTAATCTTACAGGCAAAATGGATACACATGTTTCGTGCTTTGATTGATGAGAGAGGTCCATGGTCTGCTAATCCTTTTCCAAATAGTTCTGTAAGGCATTGGAAACTTGACAAGATAGAAGATACCTGGCGACGTAGACAAAAGCTGAGACAGAATTATCATTTTGATGAAAAGCTGTGTCATCCTTCGTCCTCTGTGCCTAGCAATGAGGTTACACCTCCCGTTAATGAAAGTAAATCTGGTTTCGTGGGGCACATTCCTGAACAAATGAAACGATTTTTGCTGAAAGGGGTATGGAAGATAACTGATGAGGGCAGCTCAGAACCTAATGAAATTGATACTGAACTTGGTGGGCAGAAACCCTCCATCCCTAAGGATACTTCAGACAGCCAGTGCTCCGAATTAGCCATGGACACCAGTGATTGGATGCAGGAGAGAAAAGATTCTTCTTCCTCTTCACTTGAGGCAGAAACTAGTGAGGTAAGTGGGACGATATGAATATGTTCAAGACCGTTAATAAAAATGCAAATAAATTTCTTATGTCCGGATTTCTGTTTCAGGTTCTTACATCAGTTCCTTGTGTGCTTGTAACCCCAAAAAGAAAACTAGCTGGACATTTGGCAGTCATGAAAAATGTCTTGCATTTCTTCGGTGAATTTTTGGTTGAAGGTACTGGGGGATCATCCGTTTTCAGAAACTTCCATGGTTCAAGCAATCATGATTTGACCAAACCTGATCAAAAGCAGAAATCTGTGAAACAACCACTATATCTTGATTCAGATTCTGAGAAGGGTGCCACAGTCGATAAATTTGAGGCAATGAATGAAAATGTTCTTAAAAGAAAACAATTTAAAAATATTAAGCGCCACAGGAGATGGAATATGGGCAAGGTTAGGAAGAAATAATTTTCATTTATTTTTTTCTTTAGTTCTCTTGCATAAACTTTATTTCTTGTTTGTTATTTCTTATGGTTGATCATAGATAAAAGCTGTTTGTTGGACTCGTTATTTGCTTCGATACTCTGCAATAGAAATTTTCTTCAGCGATTCAGCTGCACCAGTATTTTTGAATTTTGCAACCCAGAAGGATGCAAAAGACACTGGAACCTTAATAGTTGCTACTAGGAATGAATATTTGTTTCCAAAAGGAAGTGGTCGGGACAAAAGTGGAGCTATTTCATTTGTTGATAGACGTGTGGCACTGGAGATGGCAGAAACTGCTCGAGAGAGCTGGAGGAGAAGGGAAATGACAAATTTTGAATATCTAATGATTCTCAATACGTTGGCTGGAAGATCTTATAACGATTTGACGCAATATCCTGTCTTTCCTTGGGTCTTGGCTGATTATTCCTCCGAGGTTCTTGATTTTAATAAGTCTTCCACTTTTCGGGATCTTTCAAAACCAGTTGGAGCCCTTGATGTGAAGAGATTTGAGGTTGATTTGTATATGTCATAATTTTCTTAATAACATAATTAATGCACATATTTCTGCATCTGTTTTTAACAAATATTTCGGTGGCATACCATCCAGGTTTTTGAAGATAGGTATCGTAGCTTCTCTGATCCTGATATACCTAGGTAATTTCCAAAGCCTTCTCAATACCTAATGATTTTTTTTAAGTCCCAAGAATGCACTCTCTTTGATTGTCTGATTTGCAACATTACTTCTTAACTTTTGCAGTTTCTACTATGGGTCTCATTACTCAAGCATGGGGATTGTGCTTTATTACCTTCTGAGATTGGAGCCCTTTACTTCTCTCCATCGAAATTTGCAGGTACTCTTAAGCGCAGTTTCACACATTTTAAATATCTTATGATATGTTACAAGTCTTTCTTTTCAATTAAAATAAGGCGATTCCTTTGGCCTCCACACTTCTGTCACCAAAGTATCTCTCTTCTGACATTATTGTTCATAGAGAAAATTTAAAACTACCCACTACCCTGTTTTACATTACCCAGCAAACTACATCACTTTTTTCCTCTTTTTATTTTCATATTTTGTATATGAAAGGAGCAATCTCACATCAATGAAGCACAATAATTTATCAATAAGTGGATGGTTATTCACATTTAGAAATTTCAGGGTACGAGGTTCTGCCCAGAAAATCTGCATGATGCTGCTGTCTATTCTTGGAATTCCGATTAATTCCAATTTTCCAAAATTATGTCTTTCTTAAGTGTGATTTGTGACAGTGTAGTAAGTTTTTCGGGTAGCAGCTTGAAAAAAAAATTATTTTCATGAAAGATTCTGAAAGCCATGGGCCTAAGCACTGTTGATTGGCCTTTATGAATTTCTATTAGTCAGTATTTTATCTTAACTCAGCTTTATGATTTTGTTATTTATAAACTTATTCCATGTTATGAAGTTGGTGCTTGAGAGGACCATAGGTGTAGGTTTTTTGTTTTTGTGTTTTTCCCTTTTTTTTTCTCATCTTGGAGCAATTTTGGTGTTTCAATCTTTTCTCATTTGATTACTTTCTTACTATACTGACTAATGGTCCATGGATTTCACGTTTTGCTTTTCATCAGGGTGGTAAATTTGACCATGCAGATCGTCTCTTTCAAAGCATTGAGGGAACATATCAGAACTGCCTTTCTAATACAAGTGATGTGAAGGAGCTAATACCTGAGTTCTTTTACATGCCAGAGTTTCTTGTAAATTCAAACTCTTATCATTTTGGTGTGAGACAAGATGGTGAACCTATTGCAGATGTTTGCCTCCCGCCCTGGGCCAAGGTATGTGAGCATAATCTAATTTAGGGAATACACTCCAAACCATTCTACATCCAATTTTATTGGCTGCAAAATGAAGCTTTAATCCCTAATGCCATGGTAAATGGACAAAATTTCTGTGAATATAGGTTGGGCAAAGGTCAGAGCACATGTATGCAATGACTTTGACATTCACGTAGGAAATTAGTGTGGGATCTGTAGAAAATCTGCCAAAATAAACAGGATCTGCAACCGTGTTGATTTGATTACAAATGGAGGGATGTAAAGAAGTATATTTACAAGTTGATTAGGGTCAAACTTCAGAGACTAAAAGTGTAATTTAGTCTTTAGCTGATTGAATGTCTTTGCCAGGAGGAACTGACTACCTTTAGGAGAACTCTCTAATAAGATGGCAGAAGTAGAAAATTAACATAAAGAGTGAAACAATGAGATTTGTTTTCCCAACAATTAAGAAATCTTGGAAATATTTCATAGTAAATATTTCGCAGAAACCTTGGGATGCTTACTGCAGAAAATACCCGATTCTTATTTTTCTTTGATGATGGTTCTTTGCCGTTTTATAAAAAGAAGTTTTACCTCGGCGGTAAGTTACACTCACAGTTGACATGCACGTAAATACCTGTCATCTGGCATGATTGTTAAACAGATGAGTTTGTCAGTTTTTCTTCTCTTTGTTTGGATGGATAAGTTTGATAGCACCAAGAGTGTGCACAATAATATAATGCAGAAAACTTGAACCTCGTGCAATAAGGTGTGCACTTCATAGGGGTAACTTTACTTTTGGAATGTCATATTGGAGATTAAAGTTTTCGTTTTCTTTTCTTTATCTTCCTCTTATCTATGATATTGAGTTGTGAGATGTATTCACATTACATGCACCATTTCATTGGGCATTGTTTTCTTTTCTTCCTATGGAAAAGCCCTGATCCAATTATTTGTTCAGGGCTCACCAGAAGAATTTATTAACAAGAACAGAGAGGCCCTTGAAAGTGAATATGTTAGCTCTAATCTACACCATTGGATAGATTTGGTATTTGGTTACAAGCAGCGTGGAAAACCTGCCGTGGAGGTACCTCTGATAATTCAAATAATTATTCTAATCAGTCCTGCAAATTCTCTATTGGTTGATATTAATTTATTAAAAATATACTGATCTCTAAAAACATTATTGAAATATAGGCAGCAAATATCTTTTATTACTTAACCTATGAAGGTGCTGTTGATCTGGAAACCATGGAAGATGATTTGCAAAGATCAGCAATTGAAGACCAAATTGCAAATTTTGGCCAGACACCAATTCAGATTTTCCGTAAAAAACACCCAAGAAGAGGGCCACCTATTCCAATTGCCCATCCTTTGCACTTTGCACCTGGTTCTATTAACTTGACTTCCATTGTTTGTGGTTCAAGTCATCAACGGTCGGCTGCCTTATATGTGCGTACAGTGGACTCTAATGTTGTCCTTGTAAACGAGGGGCTCACCTTGTCAGTTAAGATGTGGTTGACAACCTCACTGCAATCTGGTGGAAATTTTACCTTCTCTGGCTCCCAGGTAGGGTTTTATTTTGTTGGATCACTGGATATTTTTTATTGTTATGTTTGATTTGATTTTTCCTATAAGGACTTAGGACGCATACTAAATAAACATGTGCAGGATCCTTCTTTTGGCGTTGGTTCTGATATTCTTTCTCCTCGTAAAATTGGGAGTCATTCGGCTGAAAATGTTGAACTTGGAGCACAATGCTTTGCAACAATGCAAACACCATCTGAGAACTTTTTGATCTCATGTGGCAATTGGGAAAATAGTTTTCAGGTTATATCCTTAAATGATGGCAGAATGGTACAAAGCATCAGACAGCATAAGGATGTGGTCAGTTGCATTGCAGGTATGTTTAATAACTGGAAGACAATTATCTTTACCTTCAATCAAGGCACATACATGTGAATGTAGAGAAAAAGTTTCCTTTCGCCCTATTTGAAGTAAATTAACGGAATACACCGTGGGGAGGCATAATGAACTTTCTAAACCATAAGGTGGCCAAGTGAAAATGAGCAGTAACATTATGGGGTGAAGTGAATTTTTAAAATTTTACAACAGAAAAAAGAAGGAAAAGGATGCTGCTAGTCCATACTTTCTCATTCTTAAATAAATGGACTAAAAATATCAGAAAGCATGTGCATATATGTGTTTGATCTCAAGAGGTGGATAGTAAGGCCATCTCGTTCCTTAAGTGCGGTCTGAAATTGAAAGAAATACTCTAGAATTAGGCAAACACAGTGGAACTCAATTGAGTTAGGAAAGGTTGCTGGAATGGAGAATTTTTTGCGTATATATGTTAAAATACTTTCCTTTTACCAGAATGTATGTTAAAACACTTTAAGCAAATCATTTATTTTTGTCGCAAAAAATAAAACAAATTGGGCCCGTGTGCCTTCTCTCCTGGCTTCACTTGCTGGAAAACAATTTAACAGTGAAAATCAACAAGTAGATTTGTCAATTATGATTTGTGATCTTACATGATTAAAACACGATCAAGACTCGAGAAATGCTGAGGCAAAATCTCGAAATTCAATGCAATAGCATGCATATGTGCTTTTTTGGGACTATGAGTGGTGGTAACGATATGGTACTGGCATTGTAATGCATTAATGTTATGATCAAATAATGAAACCGCTAATTTCTTGTCCTCTTCTGGGTGACATTTTGGTTACTGGCTTTTTATTTTGGTAGAATTCTTCCAACTACTTTCTGAGCTGTATCATTGATAATGCTGCAGTGACATCTGATGGAAGCTTCCTTGCAACTGGAAGTTATGACACTACAATCATGGTGTGGGAAGTCTTCCGCGGTAGAACCCAAGAAAAGAGGACTCGCAATACACAGACCGAACTACCTCGCAAAGATTATGTCATTGTTGAAACTCCTTTTCGTATTCTCTGTGGACATGATGATATAATTACATGCTTATATGTCAGTGTGGAGCTTGACATAGTGATCAGTGGATCAAAAGATGGAACTTGTGTTTTTCATACCCTGCAGGATGGAAGATATGTAAGATCTTTGCGCCATCCATCTGGATGCGCTTTGTCAAAGCTTGTCGCCTCTCGGCATGGACGCATCGTCTTTTATGCTGATGATGATCTGAGTTTGCATCTGTATTCAATTAATGGTAAACATCTTGCTTCTTCTGAATCCAACGGACGCCTCAACTGTGTTGAGTTGAGTGGGTGTGGTGAGTTTTTGGTTTGTGCTGGTGACCAAGGGCAAATCATTGTACGCTCTATGAATTCACTTGAGGTCATAAAGAAGTGTAATGGAGTTGGAAAGATAATTACATCTCTGACAGTGACCCCAGAAGAATGCTTCTTAGCAGGAACAAAAGAAGGAACCCTTCTCGTGTATTCTATAGAAAATACTCAACTTCGCAAAGCTAACCTTCCTCGAAATTCAAAGTCCAAACCTTCTTCAACAGGATAAATTAACCATTTGGGATTCAAGTTGTGGAGTTTCAATGGCGAGCAATGATTGGGATGTAAGTCCAAGGTATGTGCTGCAGTCATTTTCATACAAGTTTTCACTTTTTAAAATTTTCGTGATTCAGACTATATATATATGTAGTAAATTTGATTGATGTTTGTCCTGTAGGATTTACATTTACAGTTCAATTTACTTTAACACTTATTTTTTTCTTTTAATCCAGTTCAATTAAATTTATCTGGATATAAACCAAAATGACGAATTATGCCTCGGCATGGTAACAATTTTCCATTTCTTCATGGCTGGTTGGAAGTTCTAATAACATGTTGAAAATTTCTGTTGATTCATCGTTTGCTAACCTGTGGGCCAAACAAGTGTTTTTATATTCTTGTACTCCCCTTCACACGTGTGTGTGAAATTGAACTCAATGGTTTATCAGTGTCTCCCCGGCTCTATTTTCAGATTAAAAAAAATGTGGTTGAAGTACTCATAATGACATTTGAAATTATTGCAGTATTTGCTTGGTTTGCCTTTAGATTTTGATTATCAAGCTTCAATACAGGAGTCTACAAAAAATTTCAGAATGATGAGCATGTCCATTACATGCCAGGGGCTCAGACTCCTTTCCATTTCGGTTTCGTCTCCTTGACACTTTGGTATGTGAAGACAAAGTAAAGGGATACATGCGGTTCAACTGGCACCACTTGAACGGTTTTGAAGGATGTTCAAGCATATTAATGTAAAACATGGAGAGCTCGAGAACTTTTTGAGGTGAAGTTTTCTGTAACATTTCGAAGTGGTAAAAAAGTAATGCCTTCATACAAATCAATTGCTCCTCATCTCCATATTGAGGATCAACATACATGTACATTATGTTCTTGGTAGGTTAGATTTAAAAGATTGTGTATTAACCACAGTGGCAGGCTAACTCTGGTTTTTCCTTTTTCTAAGTAGCAAGTGTTAATTCTTCAAACCTTGTATAGATGGGCAGCTGTGCCTTCTTTTTTCTAAAGCAATGACGAACATTTTTTTTTTCTTTTCCTTTACTCTGTAGCATAAATTCTCTGAAGAGACAGTAACATTACTTTTTCGGCCAATAGGGTTTCTCCGATCTTTTGTAGTTTTGCCCTTGAATATCTTCTATTTGTCCGCAATTATATTCAATATATTCTGTGTTCGCAAATTTCAATGATATTTTAATCGTAGTCTGCTTACAAACTTGACTTTTGGCAAATAGAGCTTCCACGAAGTGCTTTGTTCTTTCTACCTCCATTCATGATTGCAAAGCTGGATTTTGTATAATTTGACACGAGTGTAACTTTTTCACGGTGGCCGCTGTAGATGATCGTAGGTATGTTGATCATGTTGAGTGTGCAGTGAAGTTAACAGAATCAACTGCTTTGAGTGCGGTTACACTGCGTTTCGCGTGAAATCTTTTGTTGATATGAAAATATTTAGCATTCATCATGTTATCTCATCTGTCCTTAGATAATTCCAGTCTTAACTCACTTTATGGGTTTGATTTCGACAACTGCATGACCGTATTTCAATACCATATAATAATTTCTAAAGAAATTTACAAAGAAGATATCAACCATACAAGGATATTATTAGAGGCAATTATGGTACTGCCATGGTAACTAAATTGTCAACCTTGGTGGGCTATTCTCCTCAAGAAAGCATATGAATTCATCCGCTATTTGATTGTTCCTATTTCTGTCTCCAAACAACCCCTTCATTTCCTTAGCCCTATTTCTTAGTGACTCACCCGAGTCCTCCACCATTGCGAACCTTACAAGCTTAGCCACCGAGTCACGCGTAAATGACCCGTCTTGTGCAATTCTAGGTATCTCCACCCCAAGTCCCTTATTATTCCCTAACCTAGCATTAAGCCCTTGATCATTCACCATGGGGAATAGGATCAAAACCCGCCCGAACCCGAGCCCTTCAATCATCGAGTTCCAACCACAGTGAGTCAAGAATCCACCCACCGAGTCATGACTCAGTATCCGCACTTGTGGAGCCCACCCCAAATGTACCACTCCACGACCCTCGACCCGTTCCACAAACCCATGTGGTAACATCTCAAACACGTACTGAGTTGACTCAGGTGGGTTTCTCAACACCCAAAAGAACGGTACTCCAGATAGCTCCAGCCCGAGAGCCAACTCAGTGAGTTCTTCTTGACTCAATATTGCCTCGGTCCCGACTGCAATGTAGATCACTGAGTTGACTCGTTGCTTGTCGAGCCACTCTTTGATACCCACCCAATTTGTATCGAATTCATCCACTTGCTCATCTATTGGTGGGGGTAAAAACCCAATAGGAACAACTGGTTTTCCCTTCCCATAAATCTCTCTAAGCAAATTGAACCACTCGGGCTCAAACTCATCTGAGCTTCTAATAAACACAACTTCACTCTCATTAATCGCAAACCCGAAACGCACCGTATCGGGTGTCACGGACTCGTTCTCACTTGAACGTTGTAAATACTTGGCAATCTCGTGAAGCCGGTACGCCATGTCAGACTCGAATGGGACCCACTCGGGAACCAAGGTGAAATCCTCAGCATTGGTCCTGAAATCCTGGCCGTTGACCAAAGGCGCCGGCGGACCAATGTACGCCAAACACGCGGCGCTGAAGCAGCTAAAGAAGGCGCGTGAGATGTCGAACCTGGCCGCGACTGGGGGAAGCCAGTGAGACGCATAATCGTAAATAACCCAATCAGGCTTTGACTCTGAGGATCCCAGGAAATCGGTCAACGGCAATTCCAGCAAATCGAAGGCCCTTTTCAGCAATTGCTGCCCGTTGTACGGCACGTCCGTGGACGATTCGGCGTCGTTTGGGAGGTTGTCCAAGCGGGGCAAAGGGAGGGAAACGAGGTTGATGAGAGAAGAGAGGTGTGATGGTATTTTGGGAAGTCTGAGAATGTTTCTTGGGGTGGAGATGAAAGAAACAGTGTGACCCTTTTGAGCTATGAGCTTGGAGAGACGGAAGAAGGGTATGAGGTGGCCCATGGCCAGCCATGGAAACACCACCACATGAAGAACTCCATTCCTCTTCTCCTTCTCCATGGAAAACTTACAGGGACGGAGGTAGAAGAAGCTCTTGGAGTTGTATTTATTTTCATGAGACTATGAATTTATTGTTAAATAAAGAGAGGGCAGAGTTGAATTGTAAGAGCAACACAAGTTGAATAGGCTACTCCTACTTTTGGCTTTAGAAATGTACAAAATAATTTTGTAGTTTACTCAAGAGATTCAGTGACTGAAAACAACATAAAAGAAAAGAAAAAAGAGAGGGAATGAATACAGAAACCAATTTTAAAAATCACACTCAACTTATATGACCACTCACCAGCCAGTAAAACCCATTATTCAACTCTGACTTGTCAACAATGGTGACTGATTTGTTGATTTATTTAGTATTTTTGTGAAGGAGTTGACGTTTACTTTCAATGTGTTTTTTTGGTTTTTTGTTTAGAATGAATTTGGGATGTTTACTAATCCGTAATTGGATTATGATGCATTGAATTGAAAAAGGAGTTGAATTAAGGAAAATTAGATTTCGGATTACTATTGAAGTTGTTTACAATATCATATGGAATTGGAGTAGCAGTTATACTAATTACTAAAATATTCTCGGCAAATTTGGAAATTTTAAAACTGTGCGAGTATATAATGGATAAAAAAAGATGAATTCATAATCCACATTCCACTCAAAAATTGAATTCCTCCAAAATCATGATTTCAATTTCTAATTTTGTGTGGGTCCCACTTATTTTTTAATTCCTTGATGTAAAGTAAATACAAGAACACTTTATAAGTGAAATTCAATTCCTAATGATAATTCTAATTCCTAATTAGTACACCATCCACGTGTTTAAGACACACTAGTAACCAAAGAAAAAGAAAAAAAAAAGCATGGCAAGAAAATGGGTGAACACAGTCATCCTCTAATAAGAAAGAACCTGTTTCTGCTGGGCTTCGTTGCTTTCTTTGTAATCCTGTTTTTCCCTTTCCGCCTTTAAGGCCCTTTGGGCTTTATGAAATGTATCGTTAACCCCAGCAAAAAAAGAAGAAGTAGAAAATAAAAATAAAATAAAAATAAAATAAAAATAAAAACTGTCTAGGGCCTTACTAGGTTGTCAATGACCCAAAAAAAATCAAATATTCTGTTATGTCTAAACTGGAAAAAATTAGAAACCGTGAATTATTATTGTTATTATTTTGAGATTCCGGTAGTTATCTAACCACACCAAAGGCCAAAACATTTTTTTTTTTAAATGATGGAAAGGTTCTCTGTTTAAGGGATCAAAAGTATTTATTTTTGCATTTGAAGTATCGTGATTATGCAAGTGGTCTCAAATTCAAACTCCACGACACTTTGATAGTGTGTGTAAGAAATTCTTCCTTTTTTTTCCTAACCTCGACGCCCAAAAAAAAGTTTTGTGATGATGCAAAAGATTTGCAATTGATCAAAAGCAATTATTCAACGCTTCTCAAGTACCATCTACCATGTTAGATTTGACCCCAAAAAAAAGGTACCATGTTAGGATCCCCTCTCCTAATGTAGTTTGTTGCAGTTGAAACAATGGCGTTTCTCGTAATTATCGACACGAAACAGGGTCACTTCTCGTTGTGCCCATACTTACGGGCCAACTTGTTGTACCATGAGCTGTCCTTCACTCTGGTCTGGTGTCTGCTCTCTCTCTCTTCCCTTTTCAAAATAAAAATAAAATAATTAATTACTAAAATCATAAATTTACAAAACAAAAGAGATCAAATACAACAAAACTCACACCTGACTCACCTTCTACTTTTCTTTTTTTGTTTTCCAAAACCCCAATTCTTTTCTGAACAGCCTTCGATTTGATTTTGGGTTTAGGGTTAGGGTTTCGGTTTCACTCAGTGATTGGCTCCTCTCTGTAATGCTTCAGAGACCATCGATCCGATTCGTGAACCTCTTCCAATGTACGGACACTCCGAGCCCATGACCATGCCCAACCCGATCCCCGCCGGTGGCGACGACGATGCCGCCGGCCCCGGTGTCGACTCCATTGAGAACGCCCACATTCACTACGAACCCCATACGCTCGAGGACGGCGGTGTCGTCGTCGCCGTCGTCGACGATGTAAGCTCCGACCCCGTCTACGACGTCGGTAGCTCCGAAATGCGTGCTCAGCCGTACGACGGCTCCAGTCAGCTCACGCTCTCGTTTCGTGGCCAGGTCTTTGTTTTTGACGCTGTTACGCCTGAGAAGGTTCGAACTTGATTGATGATTTTGTTTGTTTGTTTGTTTGTTGTGATTTAGGGTTTTTTAGAGCTAGTGATATTGTTTCTGTTCGGTTTCTGAGCAAATGTGGGTGGCTGATGGCAATGAAGTTTTTTAATTTTGAAATGTTTTGAGTATTTATTGAACTGGTTAGAATTAAACTGAAACTTTTGCTTCACCGGTTGTAGTTAAATTCCTTGCGTCTTGTAAAGTCTCATGGCAACCAAATCAGGACTAGGATTTGGCTTTGCTACATTTGAATATACTTTGGTTACTAAATATTTGTGCATTGGCGTTTGAAGGTTCAAGCAGTGCTATTACTGTTGGGGGGCAGCGAATTATCTTCCGGCCCTCAAGGTGCGGAGTTGGCATCTCAGAATCAGAGGGTATCTCCTTAGACCGAAAAACTTTAACAGCATATTTAAATTTATTAGTGATTATGTTTTTCTTGTCTTTTCATAATATGTAGGGTACAGAAGATTTTCCCATACGATGTAGTCAGCCTCACAGAGCAGCGTCATTAAGTAGGTTTCGTCAAAAGAGAAAAGAGCGATGCTTTGATAAAAAAGTCAGATATAGTGTCCGCCAAGAGGTTGCACTCAGGTTTGTTTCTTTTTAAAAGAAGAAATTGCACTAGGTGGTGTAATCTATGTAATATGCTTCCGCTTGAATTTATTTGGTATAATATATGAGCTTATTGGAGTAAACAAGAGAAGTTGCATGTGCCTGCACAACCCCAGGGTTGGGAAAATAGAAATTCTTTCAGTTCCTAGTACCTCAAGTTGGGGAAACCAATCATTTCGTTTCAAAGTGTTTTAATAACTGACTAATGGCCTTGCAATATTTGGCATGGCTAGTTTTTTGGATTTAGTACATTGTATGATTTTATGTTACAAGTTTAATT